CATTTAAATATATACAAGTATGGAAGTTGATATACACGTGTCTGAAATTTAATCCCTTTTACAACACTTTATCAAAAATCAATTTTCAAAGAAACGAAATTTTACGTATATCAAATACTTTGCGCATGCTCCTTTAATTCCTTCCACAAATGAAATGAGATAAACGAGAAACATGAAATCGAAACAAATCGTATGAAATCGAACGTTATTTCGTTAAACGAATGAAAATGAAAGATATCGAGTTTCATGCGAAATCTACGGTTTTCATTTGATTAAAAACATTGTATCGAATTGGACGAACGGTGAACATCTCACGGTAAAAATAATCGAATCAAAACGTGACAGAGACGCGAACGTCGAGAAAATGATTCAGCGATGGTGCGTTAGACGCGTCAGACGACGTCGGTATATGTACCATGGGAGCGACGGGACTGGGATGTAATTCGACGTTTTCGATTTGTATATCCGGCACGTCGACCCCATTGAAAACGGTCGGAAACGATAAAACAATATACCACGGCCGCGCTGCCCGGTTTCCCGTTGAAAACACTTCGAAAATGTATTGAAAACACTCGAAAATGATTGAAATCAAACAAGTTACCAGGTGAACAAGAGAAATCTATCTATCGTGCTCATCGTGTCCGCGCGCGCTCTGCTCCTCGGTATCTGATCGAATGAATCATTTCAAATACCCCCGGTTGACGAGAGATACCATCTGCGAGACGAATGGATCGCACGCACCGAATTTAACCGGGATTCGTCCAACGAAAGTATTCTGGTTCGCGATCGTGTCGATAAATCGTTGATCGTGAACTCTGAGTTTCGACAACTATTTCCTTTTTTGCGAAAAAGATGTTTTCTATGTATAGGTGTATATATATAGAAAAATGTGTTATATGCGGATTAATACGGATCTTGTTGCTATGAATTATCGCAGTTTTGGAATTCGAAAAATATTGTTGGAAAAAAGGATGGGGCGAGTATTTAGGAATTTGTGTTTTGAAAGTTAGTACGGATATTTAATTTGCAAATATGGTGTAAAGAATGCAATGGCGAGCAAACAGCTTTATTTAAATGTAGTAGAAGATATATTACGCTATCACGAAAGATGTACAACATCTATTGAGATATGATATTCTCTCTTCTATGCACGTGTGACACGTCCGATATATTGGATATTCGTGATTTATAAAAGAGGATGCCGCGATCAAACTAGAATCGATATCCTCAACAAACGCAAAAGCTATTAATAACGAAACACTTGTTACATATACGGAATATATAAAGTAATATTCCTAATTTTTATCTTTTTAATATAAACAATATTTATTTAAAAAATATAAACAATATTTCAAGATGATTATAATTCAAATAATATATAAAAATGTTTGAAACAAAATTAATAAAACAAATGATTTGTAAAACTGTTACTAATAGTTATAAAGTATATTAATGGATAATTAAGTAGTTGTTAATTAACCATCAAAAACATAAAATCAAATAAAATCATCGTATCTAATTCAACGTATAAACAGGTCTACTTATGCGAGGCAGGGGATTATTACGTTGCCAACAATTATTTTGATAAAGAGTCATTAAGTAAGTTGCCATAATCTGATACAAAACCGCTGCAAGTAGTAGAAGTCACGCATGGAGTTGCCACCTTTCCTCGAAGCTTTAGTACGTGTGTAACAATTAACAGCGAATCAACTACGTGTAATCATGTACGTGTAAAAAAATGAAAATAATCTGATTAAATCGAAACACAATGTGATACATTTCAAAGATAAAATTTTGAAAAATTTAAACTTCAAATGTAAATGTTCGATACTTGAAAATATACGTAGATAGTAATGAAATGTGGAAAATGAAGAAAGAAAATGCAAATACAAAATTCAATTTTGACAAACATTAAATCTGTGATTTATACTATTTGTGATTTATATTCAATTTTTAACTATTTACTTTTTTTTTTAGATTATATTATATCATATTATATATGTTATTTCATAAAGTTATGTTTGTCTTATTCCAATGATACTATGTTGTAAAATATTTCTAAAAAAATATACATAATAGGATATGAGATACGTGTCTTAAAAATTTAAGAATTGATTTCTTTATCGTTTTTGTGTCACATGCGATTTTACCGGTTCAGTATAGAAAACGATTGTAGCGTTAATAGTGGCTGGAATTAAAACTTGATTTTACTATGAATAAGGTATAGATCAAACAGATTATCAGAAACAAAGTATATATAAGTAGAAATTTATATTTCTTTATAACATAAATTTATAACATAAATAACATAACATAACATTTATAACATAAATAACTATGTAATATTGATTTTTATGGTAACTCTGAACACAATTTAGCATTCATCCTAATTTTTTTTATTATATATCTGTTCTATAACGAATAAATTGTTATTTTCAAAATTATTAATATTATTGCAATGACTCTTATTCAGTAAGATTAAATAATAAGTAAATAATTATTTTTTACAAAAGATTTCATCAAATTTCTATTCATTGAAATATGTTTCTGTAAAAAAATTGAACGATGTAAAATTTTAAATATAATTTCACACGAAATAATAATAATAATGCTTATTTTCTCTTACATTGGAATAAATTTGATCGTAAAGTAAGAGATATTTTACAAGAAAATTCTAAAATCAATTAATTTATCTATTTAATACAAAATTGAAAAACTAGTTCAATAAAAATTATCTACACTTTATCATTCTATTCAACAATTTTTTTTAATATTATTAATTGAAAAAAATCATATAAATTACAAAACAAAAACTTTCTAAATAAATTCTAACTGCTCTAACCGAAAAAAATTTCCAATTAATTCTCTTGATTGAATAAATCTCGTACAATTGTGCCAATTGAAAGTAACGTTTTACGTTTTCGTTTTTACCAGTAATTATAATCGTTGCTCCGACGATATACGACCTATTCTATTTGGCTCACTGACCACAATAATTGGCAGTGGTCACGAGAGGACACACTTCGATACTTCTCATCCGTCAATTCATTAAGATTGCTTTCATACATGCCGATTCCCACGATGATTGTTTCCTAGCCTGAAGCGGCTCAATTATAGGCGTCAGTCTGCTCGCACAAACGCTTGCGCATATGCACACATATAGAGAGGGATGAATATGGAGATGCAAAAGGAAGATAAAGAAGGAAATAGGAAGGCGGCAGGGAAGAGAGGGAGAAAGATAATTCTCATTGTTCAGCAGTGGACGCCCTCGAGGCGTCTACCACTTCAAAGCCATTCGGTTCTCCGTAACTCTCATCGAACCAGAGTCCGGCAGTTAATGAACTGCCCTTCGGCGTTGCAATGCACGTTGGTGGTAGTATTAGTCGTCTAGGAACCTGGCCAAGTACCGGGAAGACCCATTATCCATTTACATAAAGGACCACAACGAGCCAGCTAAGGATTTACACTGCTCCTTAACCCCCAAGAATTTCCGGAAACCGTCGTCGGATTAATGGTTTGACAAGATACGACCACGACACGCAATTTTTCGATCAGCTTTGGACATCGTAACGATATTTACGATCGACGTGTGTACGATCAACACGATATCGTTGATATTCGTGTTAATTGTAGCGATAACGATTCTTCTATTCTTTGTTTTAAATAACGATATCGTTGTATCGGTGTTGCGTGCGCAAACACGTACCATAAAATCGCAATTGTTATTAATCGATTTCATAGACGCCGATATAGCGCAACTATTATCACTAGAAACGGAATATAAACTCGGTTAAACAGTTTCAACTGAAATATTCCTTTAGAGAATGGCAGTTTAATGTAAATTACATATTTAAGTATATTTATTTATTAATCCTCCAGAATTGTTATTTGTTAATAATACTATTTGTTAACAATAGCGTGAAGTGAGTGCAATTGATGATATTTAGATATTTGGTATTACATTAAAAATAAAGAATAGGTATGAATGTTTTTGATCAATTATTTGATTAATTGGATCGATCAAAGTATAAAATTAATGAATAGTTGAAATTTAATTTTTATCTCAAAATGTTGACTGATAATATATATAAAATTTACTTCAAGTTTTAATAGATAACTTTTCAATATTGTGTTCTGTTCAAAAACTTTTGTAATAAATTACAAAATACATATAAATATAGGTATAAACCTATATTTTAAAAATTTATATCTTAAAAAATATTAGATGATACTAATATAAAATAGGAATAATCTTGTAATTATAAATAAGTTTTTGATATATTATATTATATATATTAATAAAATTATCGTAATATAAAAAATATTAACTGAATTAATCTAATCGATTTAATAATATCGATATAATAATATACAAGGGAAACATTATTAAACATACATCCCGTGACACACATTTTAATGCAAGCAAATTGATCGAAGAAACTTACATCGATATTTAAAAAACAGATTTTTCCAAACGATGAAATGGAAAGTAAAACACTTGAAAAATTAAAAATCAATAATAAATAAATAATAAGTAACATTGAATAAAATCAACATAACATTTTTATTTTACAAATAAAATATAGATGTCAATTTCATATATTCATCTTCTCACAATATCAACAGAAACTAGTCTATAAAAACCCTTAATCTTAATAATGGGAATGAAAAGATATTGTACGATGTAGTAATAAAAATAATCATATAAAAAACAAATTTCAAAGGCAAAACACAATGAATATAGCGACATAAGCAAAATTGCAATGATATGAAATCAGTGGGGGTTGAAGCCACGTGAGCGCAGTGGTATCGTCCATCTCGCGTCCGACACAGTGGCGACATCTCGGACGCGATATTCGTAAATTTATTCGTAAAGCAACGCACAACGATAATTTTCGTTCGTGTGGAAGAATTTCGCGTCTCGTAATCGCGATTAAGACCCGCAAATACCTTAACCTGGAGTGGTCTCAAAAATAAGCAATCACAAACAAACTGCTCACCTGAACCATTGATGTGTGTTGGCACGCGAGACAGACCTCCCCGCTTGGCGGCAGTCTGATGGTGAAATCAGTCCGTGCCAACCCCTGTCGTTGGCCTTGCACCCCGTGCATTCAGCATCAGGTCGAGCACAACACAACTGCACGCACGCACGCACGTGAGTATTGTTCACGTCACTGTCACGACCACGCCCACGCGCCACCGAGTTTCCCTTGTCCACGTAGACAGTTCACGTAGTGTCGTTAACTACCACCAGAGGTGCTGGTCGCCAGTCAACGGCCGCGCGGGCGCAACCAGTTAAAATCGATTATTTCGACGCTTTCTTCTTTCTAGGGTCAATCTTAATCTGGACGTGATAAATCTATTCGGGATGCATCGCTAATTCACGCGCAACGGCTTCTGTACAGGGAGCTCGTGGCGCCGCGACTACTAGTCGTCACCCCCCTTGCGGATCGTCGAGAATTTCACTATCGATTTGCCCCTCGACAGATTTCTACGTTTATTAGGAGAATCAAAAGTGGATACAGTTTATGTTGTATTTCGAACATAATTTGTACAGTTTTACTTAGATTACTTTGGAAAATATAATTTTGTAAAAATTATCTCGTTTTTAAATAAGGATCGAAAATGATGCTGAGATTAGTGAGTTAAGATAGGAATAGTTAGAAATGAATATCGAATAAATTATCGATAGTAATGGACAATGATCAATATTTGAATAGGTTTGACAGGCTAAATATAAAACGTTATTTTTTTTATTAATACAAAGAAATTATTAAAATTTTTCAATATTATATATAAATATATATTTATTACATATATTCATGGAATACTTTCTAGAGATAACAAATATATAAAGTTAATGTACAAAAATATCAATTAGGACTTATTTATTAAGTTATAAACAATTATATTAATTAGATGAAATCAAATTATCACTTCATTTTCATCTCTAAGATAATAAGAAATTAAATCGTTAACTTTAATAAATCAGTCTCAATTAGCATCTTTGTACGCCAATTTTTATATTTTGATCTTTGTATATATTAATATCTTGTATATATATATATATATAATATACACATTGCATACAAAAATTAGTTTCTCTTTTTCTCTCTTTCGAAAGATTATATATATGCGTATATTACATTATGATGATATTATGAATATAATATTAGAGATTTAAATTTCGATTTAGAGATATTTTTATCATTTGAAATGATAAATGAAATAAAATTATAAATGAAATAGAAGATTCATTTATCGCATATTTTTTATTAAATCTCATTTACTTTTGTTAAATTTATACCACGATTCATATCACGAAATGCATTCGATTTCAATTTAATTAATGTAGATAAAATTCAATTTCACTACTTCAATACTTTCACGCACGAATTTCGTATATTTTAAAGAGAATCCTTCCGATATCCTTTAAATAAATGTCGGTCCGCATTCAATTTAACTTCCGTTCAACGTTTAAAGCCTTAGGAAAGCCTGGACAGGTGTTATCGTATTTGCATTTCTCCTATCCCTAAGAAAACACGTTAAAACTCGAACTTGATAATAACAGTCTGCCTCGCGGAAATTAAATAGCCGCGTCAGAATCAAACTTTCCAGACTGTTGCTGCCAGACGTTGCGTGTTCAGGTTTGTCAAAAATTTCACGAATTTCTCGACAGAAACAATTAACAGACGTTCAATCTTATATTGTTAAAAAATTTAAAAAAAAGTGAAGTTTTCAAAAGTTTTTTTTTTTAAACTTTTCACAAAGTTAACTTCATGCAAATCCGATTATACATTCATGAAACCGTCTCGATAAATAAATGAGTTAAACAGGGGTAGTTCACAGTTCTTGATCTTTACAATCAAATTCTTTTCATCCGGATAATTCAATGGATGATTGCGGATAAAAATGGTCTGGTTGGTTTGCCCAGTTTGAAGTCTTAATGTGGCTTAGAATTTCTGGCACCGCCATGTACTCGAGACGTCAAAAACCGTTGAATAATTTCTGAATTCGCCTACCGGGTTTCGCGCATTCCCTGGTGTATCATACGGTCTAGTTGCTGGTATGAATGGAAAAGTATACATAGTTATGCGTGACTGAATGTATAAGTGTCGCTTTGGTGGCTGGAATCCACTATGACCCTGAAATAACATTTATAATTAATAAGTCGCCTAGATGAAATTAAGTTTAAATATTTTATCGATAGGCTAATCTCTAGGGTTTATAATTTATTTAGGAACGTCTCGAACTTGGTGGAAATAGAAGATAGAGAAGGAGGAGAAAATGATTGAAATTTAAGACTTTAGACATAAGAAATTGAGGAGAATCGGAAATACGTGGAAAAGGAATGAAGAAGCGAGTGCACGCGTTAATGGAAATTGATTTATGTTAATTCTTCGACAATCGCTTTAAATACCTCTTTTTTTTTTTGCGAAATATTTGCCGATAAAAATGTATTCTTGATTGAAATAATTGATAAGAAGATAGAGTTTTTTGGTTTTCGTAAATAAAAATAGAAATAATGTGAATTTATTTGAAAAAAATTTGAAATTGGCTGCTAAATTTTTTACATGAAAAAAGAAAAATTTGAAGAATTATATTATTTTAATTATTTTTATCAAATTGTTCAGAGACTTTATTGTACGTAAAAAAGAATACAAAATTTTTATAATGGAATTCTTTTATTCCATACATCTATTTAATCGTTGAATCCTTAATCTTTATTTAAGAATCAATTATAAATATATCTCGCATTCACAAATTTTCTGAATAAAAAATTAAATTATGCATGATGCTATATATTGAAAGGCACAATGTTTGATTCATAATATGATCTACCTTGTCCCTCTACCTTCCTTCCTAAAGTTGACGTTGCCTCAGAGATTCCAAATATGAATCTTCAATGAAGTCGTGAGAATTTAACGAGGAACAGAAACTCGGTATTCGTTCGAATTTCTTAGATTTTCTCGACAATGATATTTTGAAAGCATCGCGACTTTTCTTTGAATATCTATCGCTATTTGTATCGCTATTTTTCAGATCAATCTCGTCATCCTCAAATATCGTTAAAGGTATTGAATAATCTTGAACCTATAATAATAAAAACTATTGTAAATAAAAGCATCGATAAAGAAACAAATTATACAAGTAAGATTTAAAATAATCATCGAGATTTTTTATTTTTTTTTAAATGTTTGTAACGATTTTAGATTGAGATACAACGGTCACTACCGATCTTGCAAATCATACCAATAAAAAAATAGTAAGATAGTTGAAAGTATCTAAGGAAGAATCTCTTTTTCGAGCGACCATACAAAGAGATATCAGAAAAAAGATCATTGTTGAGTGTTCGTAAAAGAATGAAGTCTCTTGATTTACCTTTGTATCGATCTCCCGATTCTTCAAAGGAGGCAGGAAGCATTTTTCAGCGACAGTATCCTGCAACTGTGGATACAGAAAGAAACAGGAATAAGTTAAAATAAGTTCAAAAAAAAAGAAAAATGGACGATATTTTAAAATTGATCGAACTCTTCTACCTTTGATACAAATTTTCTCGTAATGTATGTGGTTCAAATCAACAAAATTAATTGATCGAACTAAAACTGGATTAAATTAAATTAAATCAATCATCATCGTTAAAAGATATCATAGTATCTCTCGTATAATCTTAGAGAATAAAAAATCTAAGTTGAATAACAAACTTTAATTCCCAAAACTATTTCGATACCGAATCAACTCGATTATTCCTTAAAAATTCCATCTCGTACGAACGGAGTTTAGCATGAAATTATTTTGAAATAGTTCCCCTTTCGAACTTGCTCCCCTATCGCAACGGGGAGCGAGATCAGCGTCGCGAGATGTCGCAAACCGTTTCCAAATTCCTTTGCAAATTGTTTTGCGCTGACCGGTTGCGCATAAACGGAACGAGCCGGGCAAAGAATGTTCCGAGCAAACATGCATAAAGAGCGTAACTCGTTGAAATTCAGGCCGCGATTATCAATAGCGAGAGAGACATGGATAAAAGCAGGGGAGGGAGGGGCGCAAGCAGGGGCCACTCCTGCAAGGACGAAAGTAAGCAAAATCTAATTCCGGTAGCGGTAGGCGAGTCACGGGGACTCCTTCCCAGGGAGACGTAACGTAGGTTTATCCACGTGTAGAGAATTTCTCTACCTTCTCTCGCCTTCGTATCCTCAATTCCCGCCCTGTCCTTGTGGTAGTTGCGGCCTGCAGCCCTCGCTTTGTGCATATAATTGGATTTAGCTTTGGGATCTCCCCTCTCCACTTTGCCCGCCAGCATCCCAACCCTTCGCCCTTTTCCCTCTCCCCTTGTTCCATCTTCTTCTCACCCCTACCGTCTTACGATTAGATCTAATGACCAATTTTACATCGCCGATAACCAGTACGTGTATGTGTGCAATTAACAAACTGAGAAACACGTTATAATCGCACATACGTTGTGCGATTATAGTTTCTCTCGGTTGGCTAAACACGGTTTACATTATCATTAAGGAAAATTTAATCCTTCTTCGATGAGGTGATATATGTATATTCTGACCATGATTTGTACAATATCTTCGATGTAATTATTGCGACGAAATCGGGTTAATTTCGTGACCGATTAAACGACGAACAAGGGACGATATATTAAAGAGTCATCGATGCCACGATTTCGTGGTATTCCGAACGCGCTCCCCATCGTCCCTCTGCCGGCGAAAATAAATGTAAAAGCCCGATGACGAGAGTTGCGCGACGTTAACGATCCTGTAACGAACATAGGGACGAAACGCGTAACGTGGAGGAAGGGAAGATGAACGGGGGGGAAAAAAGAGAAAAGAGGAGGAGGCGCTGGCCATTGTTAACACAAAAGTGATACGTACGTAATTAATTTCGCTTATAAATCTTGCAGAGGACCATTACGAGACTTGACTTTCCTCCGTGCTAAACGAGAGTAAAACGAATCAGTTTTCGTCGCGATGCCTCTTTGCGTCCTCTAATTGGCAATTAACTATCGAGCGTAACGCGAGCAAATGGTGGACGATGTTAATTCGTCATCCTGCCGCGCTTCGACTATCCTTTTTTTCGCGTTATTACGGTTTTCCAATATGGATATTTGATTTTGATTCGAGACCGCTCGCGCGCCTCCCGTTATTCGATTTATAACAAAAGCATCACGTACCTGAAACGGAGATAATTTTTTTTTTTTGTATAAGTACGATTCGAGAAAAATTGTCCTATTTTGCGAAATTGTTACAAATTGCTAAATGCATGGAGATCGAAAATTTCAAAATTTTTGCCGTTCTGGAGTTTTAACGATCCGATAACATTTTCATGTAAAATTTTCATGTAAAAATACAAATGAGAAGCTTTTTCGATAAAATTAGTTATTGTTCACGATTATTTGTGAATGTTCCGAAATGCAAAATTGTCACGCGCTTTAATGGATATTATATTTATCGCAAATTAAATAATTTCGAATGAAATATAAAACGTTGCTATAAAAAATAAAAACTACGTTATTTACAACAATTTTTTCTTTAAATTTTCCTGTAAATTTTTATTTCTGTCGTAACTTTTGTCAGCAAATATAGAAATTAATGAAACGAAACTTATGTCTCTTGTAATGCGATATTTGTCTAATTTTAAAAAGATAATTTTTCGAATTCGCGGAAAATGAAATATAAAACAATATTTTTTGCGATGTTGTAACGATAAATATTAAGTGTGAACTTAATATTGCTATCATTATTTTAATTTCAATCATCGTAATTTCGGTTATCTTTAATTATTTTAATTATTTTATTCAATTATTTGATTCGAAGAATCCATGCTGTCTAACTTTTCTTTAGATAGATATTAAGTGTGGTGGAATTCCAATGAAATGCTGACATTTAGTATGAGTTAGAGTTGAGATATTTCAAGTCCATCAAAATTCATGAAGAAATAAGTTTACCAGTTAAAATATACAAATATATGTATCTATATTGTCACCGTCAGTGCATACGTAAAGAGAAAATTCAATATAGTAGTTACAATTGTACGTATAGGCAAGAGTTGGTTAAATTTTTTTCTCTTGCACTCTCCATATTCTTAACTCTAATTTTAATCAATCAATATAAACATTAAAAATATCATGCACATGGCATATTTTTGCGAATATCTCAAAAGTTAAAACTGAATTTATACATATAATATATATAACATATAGGATTGAAAGTAACTCAGAATCACTCATTTTTTAAATAATTATCATATTATCTTTTATATCTTCCTGCTCAATGCTCACCAAAAGCATAACTAATATGCACCAAGTATAACATTAAGAAAACTAAGAAATAAATTCAATTATCAAAAGCAAATTCAATCACGGATTCCTTAATATGCTATATTAATAATTTTTTCTTTTTTTTTTTTTTTAATTGATCTAAAAATATCTTTTCCCAGGCGTATTACGTATTTAAAAAAAAACTATCATTATTATTACTTGCTACAAATTACTTCTTTTCCAATAGATAAACAAAAAGTTTATTAAACGCGTGCGCATGACACATACCTTAAGCCTGTGCGTTTGCAGCAATATCCGTTGGCGATTACGCGCGCTAACTGAGTTCCCATATGACCTTCGCCGCATCAGCCACTCTCTCTGCAACAACAAACAATCCCTGAAGCTGCCATCGCTTCGATGAAACTTTCAAACTAAACAGACCGGGAGGTTCGGGCGCCGGGGGCTTTATTTACTTTTTACGAAAGCCCTACGACCTCCATCGCCATCCCCCCCCCCCTCCAAGTTTCCGGTAACGCGAGCACGTATATGTACAACCTACACATCCGTCTGAAACACGTCTGACAACGTCACCTACCGTATATGGAAACCCCTTATTCCTCTCCCTCTTCCTGCTCCCCTTCCATCCGCCTGCCCCTTTTTACCGCACACCGACGCATCGAAGGATTCGGTGTGGGTTTGCCCGTTAAAAGTGCAGTAAGATCGATCGATCGAGCTACACCGAAAATCGTCGAGTGCCGACTCGCCCCCCGACCGAATCCAGCGGGTAAAGTAGATTATGCAAATGCTTGTCGAAAGAGGAGGACGATGCAAAGGGAAAGGATAGGGAGGATGGGCGAGGGGCAGGTGGTAACCGGGGCCGAAATAGAAAGGAAGAACAAAAGGACGAAAGGAAAGGGAAAAAAGGAAATTGTATCTGACGGAGGATTCAGAGCAAGACTATGTTCTTAATAGTCGAACGAATTGTTATTGTTTTTTAAACTTGAAAATATATTGAAAATATTTCGAGCGTTTTGTATCTCGTGTCGTAAAGTTCACGAACAATTTAACGAGTAAAATCTAATTTTAAACTTTTATTAAACGTATTATTTCATATGTTGAATATTTCATCCCAATAGTTGATTTATACTACTTATCTCGTAGAGCCAATGGTTAACTTGTACTTCTTATCTTGCCTGAGCAAAGCTGTCTCGTGTTCATTTTAAGAGAAACAGGCATATACTTACGGTAATTTAACAAGACTTGACGATAATTTCAGGGATGAACTGAATTAGAAGAAGATCCAAAATCAAATGTTTTCCCTTTTTATTCATCCTTTGATTACTTCACGCTATTCTATTGCACTATTCCGCTTGTTTCTTTCCCTTTTATTTTTTTTTTTTTTTTTTCGTTTTCTTTACGTGTTAATGCACATCGGTGTAATTCATATCACGTTAAATTAAACCGCGGCCAATATTAATACAATCTCTCCGGAGTCTGTGTAATTATAGGCATTATGGTGTACCTCTGCTGTCCCCTTGTTCCAGTCCGTTGGCCTCCTCCTCTGGCGTTTCATTTAAACTGTCCTTGACGGCGCGTCCAACAGGAACAAATTTATTCCCGCATATCGGTGTACTTATCTACACTAGTATCCAAGTTACTCGGTAATCCTGGATAATAGCAAAAGAATGTACGACAAATGTGCGGTTGTAAGAAAAAGTCTTGGATAAAGTCCATATTTTTCCTCGAGAACAAGTTGTGGCTTGAAAGTTCTTTCTCTGTACCATCACGGTACAGTGCACCTTCTTCCCATATTACGTTACATATCATTCACATGCTTTAATGTGAACCGTTCCAGTAAAATTAAATGAAAAATTAATTGAAATATTTATTGAAAATTTATTAATTTCTTGCAATGAATCTTTCATTGTTTTTCATTTGAAATATATTTGCTATAGATCAGAAATAATGATACATATCAAAGATTAAATTTAAAACCCAGTAGATGTATTGGATGAGGATCAATCTTCTAAATCAATAGAGGGAAGTTCTCTTCAACTGTTCTCTTTCAGAGTATTATTCATCAGTTTGTTCGCTTGAAATTGTACTAAGTTCGATTCACTTCGTAACTTTAGACTAAAATCATCCTCGACCCACTAAATATTCCAAGATATATCTTCCAAAATTGTATTCCAGTTTAAACAGAATTGCAGATATAATACTTTACTGATATCTATTATAATTTTATCAGTTCGATGTTATATAGCTATGAAATTATATTTCATTCTATATTTACAATAGATGTAAATGTGTTTGACAAAATTTTATACATCGTCACCAACGATATAATTTTGAGAACTAATATTCGTATCGTCGTATCTCTATGCGCAAATAAAAAAATACAACATAATAAATTGGATTCAAAAAAATACAAATAAATATACATAATTTTTTTTTCATATTAAATTAAAATTTGATTTTGATTTTGCGACTTAAAATTTTATTACATCTTATTTGCATTATAGAATAAGTATATTAAAACACACTGAAACTTTAAGCGTTGACTTTTTAAATATTAAATCGGCCAGAAAAAAAACTCATACGAATATTCTGCATACAAACTTTCATTTGAATAAAAATTTAGGAGGTTTAAGTGAATTTTCTTTTAAAATAGCGTTCAAATACTTTCTCTATCGTTGTATTTGCATGAAAACCCTCAGTCTCATCATTTGCATTCGATCAAAGAGGAAGACTTTATCAAGACTGATAAAAAATTGTTGCTAAAGCGAATTCTTTCTTCTTAAAAGCGAAAAGGAATGCGAATACATATGTAGAAGAGTACGCGTATGTGAATCAATGGGCAACCATAACTAACTTCTTCCTTCCCTCTCTTTCTTCTTCCAAGGTCCAACTCGTAGTATTAAGAACTCTGAAAAATTTACAGGCCGGCCAGCTCTAGAATAGGTATTTAGCTCAAAGGCTTCTGGAATTTACTGTGTCTCCGAGTACCAACGGCGACAACTATTTCCTCGTTGTGCGCCTGGCGTCGCGCGACTGTCGAAGTTACACTGGCACGTCTACCAGAATGCTGTCTCGAAGGAACAGCATTGCTCTCGAGTTTTTCAAAGCATCCGCTATTGTGGCGCCATCTTATGTACCACGTATAAGTATTGAAATACTATCTTCGTTGAGTTTGAAAATAAAATTTTATTCCACTAATACGATACTCGTAATAAATGTAAGAAGAAATATTAGGACGAGTAACTTTAATCATGAGTTGGTAAACAGAATTGTTTTTTAAAATGATGTTAATTTATTTGGCTTTAAGATAATTATTTATAAAAAGATCTTATTCTCTGATCTTGATGATTTTTTAATAATATTGTGGAGATTTTACTTGATGGTCATTAAAAAGTTATTAATAAAAACGTTTAACAGTTTAAATTAGATCAGATTATTGCTGCAAACAATTGATGATTGGCTTCCTCATCCAGATTAAGAAAACTAATCCAAATAATGCAAACTATTAAATCAACTAATCAGTTAAATGAGTTTTAATTTTGATTTGAAGTGAAAAAAAACTTAGAATGAACATGAATTAAAACATAGAATAAAAATTCATTTAATTTCTGACTTTATGATTGATATTGAGTTCGGTAATAAACAACGATCATTAAATAAAATTCTTCACGATTTAACGTGATGATTTTATTGCAACAATAAAATCATCGAGATCGAAGAATAATATCTTTTCATAAATATTTATTGACTTTAATATGAGTTGTATAGTATACCAATTTTTAAAATTTATCCTATTTTCTTTTATTTATATTAAATTATATTATCAATGGTAAATTCAACTTCACGCTTGATCATGCTGAGTAGAGAATCCTTGAAATTCTTCGCGTATCGTTCGATGTACAAATTTGATAGGACTCGTACGAAGAAAATAGAAGGTATCAAATGATAAGATAGCTGCGAGGAAACGGACGCATGTTTATTAGATTGAAGTTACGAAGACGGGCGACAAGCTAACTCGCTTTAGGTCTTCCATGAAATTGTAAACTGTGATGGGTCGGCGGAAGCGAAGTTTCTTCTACTTCGCTTTCTCGACTCTGGCAGGTTAACTTCCGATGGGACAAGGAAACGAGATTGCGAGATGTCTATGTTCGAACTTCTGCTAACTCGACTTTAACCCGAATAGCCGCGCTCATCCATGAATCATAAAAAAATGCGATTTATGAATATTAAAATACACATAATAAAACGTTTGCAGAAATAAAAATATCATGTACAATCGATCGAAAATAATTCTAAATTCTCAATAATTATTCTCAAAAGAATATGCTGTGAACGCCATCTTCGAATAAATTAATTCAATCAAGTTGAGAAATTGCAGAGAAATAATCCGTAATTCTATTACATGTTTAATTATTTCAAAAATTCTATTCTTATTGCATCATTCGCTATATTGAATATCCTATTTCCTTGTTCTCAATTAAAAAGTCAGATGTAGATTTAGAAAATCATAAAAACCATATATATATAGATAATAAAAATCACAAATTCGAACGAATGTTAACGGCGATCTAACACGAAGCCGCTTTATCTCCGATCTCGAAACAAATAAATCCCAGCTCAATTAAGTACGGTCAAAGAATGTACCGGAACACACTTACCTTGGCTTGCATCTCAACTTTATCGGGCCCAAGAGATCGATCGAGTTTCGGTATCGACAAAGTCCTGTATTCCTCGATGGTGTATGGCTTGTAACCAAGATTCTTTTTCGATTTATCGTCAGCCGTGTTCTGCTTAACCGTGTTCGAATCGGGGGAGATGTAGGAGGTATCTTGAAACGTTGATTGATCCACAATTTTAGAGGATCGGTTTTCGGAGGCCAGAGGATTGATAGATCCCTCGATTATACGCCTATAAAAACTCAACTCGCTTTGATCGTCCCTCGGGGTGCACAACGTACGTATATCGTTGTCACTGAGCTCCTCTCGTTCGCTGTCCCCGCAAACCGACAAGGTGGAACCCTCCGGGGATCGAACGTTGTATTGTGGTCCACCTGCGAACAAGGAGAAACTGAAGATGCATCTTAGCCGGATCGTTCTTTAATGTGTCGCTTTGAAATTAAAGTAAGGGAATTGAACGAGATTTGAAAGAGAGATATTCTTTGAGGCAAAGAATTCTCAATTTCAAGTATGTTATAATAAGATATTAATTATACTTTGATGCTATCATACGCAAAATATTAGTCAAACTGACTTCACTAAATAGAATAAAAATGCAAATGTATAATGATTTAAATATATTCAAAAATACTTGAATACATGAAAATTTAATATATGTGTATTTATAAAATCTTAATTGTCATTAAATAAAGAAATAAAGTAATGAAAATTAGATCGATTAATTTTATAAGGGAAATCTGTGAAATCTTTATTCTATAAACAATTATTATTTTAAAACAACGAAGGAATAGCATTTAAATGTAAAATTAATTTATATAGTAGAAAATAACACGTTCGAATGAAAGCGAGTCAAGTTTTAAAGAGAATTGATTATATTAAATGAATAAAGCAGAATTTGTGACTTGTATTGCTTAAAAAATAATTAAAATTAATCTAAAAAAAAAAAAAAAAAAAAAATTTCAGTAAAAGAAGACAAAGGAAAAACTTTTAAAAAAATATTAATATTATATATATATATATGTTGAAAATAGAATCTTTAATTAAAACGTGAATGATAAAGCTGCAATTTTAACGCTGAATTTAAATCTATATTTAAATTTCGAATAAAATAAAATTAAAATTGGAAAAGAAATTTCTATTTGGAATTGACTTAATGCTATTCAATCGATATTGATTCGATGAATCGTTATTTTTTTCGAAAAAAAAAAAGTACGATCGAAAAAATAAATTTATATTTGAAAACTCTATGAGAGTTAATCTAAATTGTTTCTTTCTCTATTAGTATCTTTTTATCTATTTTATTTTATTTTTTTTTTCTTCTTCGTTAGTAACTTTTTTATTTACTCTCGCCTGATATTTATATATCTATAATACATTCAATAATCATATTTTTTATATAGATTTTAAATTATTGAATTTAAATATTCTATACGTAAACTAAAAAAAAAACAAAAAAATTCTTGTCACATTAATTACTTTTATATTTAATGATCTCTATATCAATAACAATAAATCTTTAATAAGTTGCAACTAAACTTACAATTTGGAAAATACAATATCGTTAATATGAGAAAACTTTTCGAACTTGTAACTATCTAAAAACCTTCGAGTTAAGAAAGCTTCGAAATCGATATCAAATTATATCGAATCCTGGAGTAATCTCCAGGGTGTTGTATACATATATCTTGGTACCTAACCTTTTAAAAATAGTGGTCTTTCCAAATACAATTTCTCTTCCCAAGGAAAAACAGGAACCGCGCGGTCTTATCGCGCTTCGAGTTAAATAGAGATTCAGCATGTCCAAATAACAATAAAGCAGAACCGTGGCAAGACCAACAAACAAGAAAGGATTGAGACGACCATCGTACGTTCTAATTCTGCAGATATATATATATATATATCTATATCACTAGTGTCGAAAGGACATCTAATCACGATCAAAGTAAACGTTCTCCGGAGGAAAATTGCATGGTTCCAGTAGCATTTAGAGTGACCCTTGCGTAAACGCACCCTTTCAAACCCTCGCGTTGGTCACGAACGAAGAACATTATCTCGTTTCGAACTAACTGAATTTCCGACGATAGAGGTCCAAATAAGAGTATGATTTCCTCGCCTGCTGAACCACCGGGGCGAGCACATTTCCAAGCTTTTTATTCGGTTTCATAGATATCGAACTATCTTTAGGATTATAATTTTGTTTCATTTGGGAGGCCTTCGAAAACCGTTTTGAACATTTTGTATCGATTTTCTTATCGACGTTATTCTCCTCTCGATTTTTATTCTAAAAAATAAAGATAAGCTTGATTTAAAATATTCATGTAATAATTTTAACGTAATAATAATAATTTATGATTTGAAATGTTAAATTATGCAATATTGTGGAAAATAATTGTTTTAATACGAATTTGTTATCGAAATTCTCAATAAAATGCAAGAAATTGGGATAGAATTATTTATTATTAACAGATTATGATATCTATATATTCCAACGATTGAAAATTTGGAATTAAACTTCTTTGATACTTGAGCTGATATGTAATTGAACTGAGATATGATTATGATTAAAAAATTGAATTAATCCGATAATAAGTCAAATCAAAAATAATAAAATAATATAAATTTAAATTCATGTTTGCATTGTTCATAATTTAGAAAATAATTAAAATGTCTCTTTTGAAATATTTTGAAGCTTCTGAATCGAAACGTTTCTCATCATACTCGTGATCTTACGTTTCTCTTAAGGCGATCCACGACGTCTCGTTTTCCGTTCTCCAAAGACGTCGGATGTCGTCGCTTGGACGCGTCGACGGTTCTTCTGTTCACAATTATCGCATTCTTGCTGCCGACTGTCCTCGTGTCTTTGTCGGTACTCGGCGTGGTTTCATTAGATCCGGTATCTGAAACGTTTTCAGTAAGAAAGAAACAGGACAAATGTCAGTCTCCTCGAATGGATCGATGATTCACCTTAGTCTCAACTTTTCATAAATGTTTCTTCGTGAATTTATAAAAAAAATATAAAAGGAAGTTATTATTATTTAAACATCTGAGTACGATAATATATAATCTATTTATAACATCAAAATTTTGTATTAACATATCAATAATTTTATCATGATTAATTAACTCTTAAGTGATAAACCAAGTGGTGAAATTAATAATGTTAGAAATTGAAATTGAATTGATTATTTAATATAATATTGAAGTATCATAGATATATATATATATATATATTTTATTACTCTTGCCTTGTTTTTGAGATAATGATGGAGAAATAGATTTTGGCGAAAGTGATGGCTTAAAGAATAAATCAAAAATCAATGTTTTGGTTGGCACTAGGTTAGATCCAATGATATTTTTGTGTAAAATATTCTTATTCCTTGGTGAAATTTCATTAACATTTTCTAGCGAATCCGTAGAATATATTGACATTTTTGGGACAATTTCAATTTATTTGAAAAGTACGCGAGAAGCTTCATGAGAACATTATTATAGTTAATTACATTACTTTACAGTATGCGTCAAACGGATAAATATAAATTATTTCATACGTTTTATTGTGTGACTCAATTCAATCTGTATTATATCTCTAACAAATTTTTTATAAGGGAACAATTGTTGAAAAAAATTAAATTACAAAAAAATTCAAAAATATCTAATTAAATAAAAATAAATTAAATAAATAAAATAAATTAAATTAAATTAGATATATAATTAAATAAAAAAGTAGCAAAAAAGAACATGGAATATTTAAAGTATAATAAACTAATTTACGAGTTTTTAAATTATAACCTATGTGTTTTAAAACTTATATTCTGTATATTTTAAAATTTACAAAATTCTATATTTATGTTATTATAAATTTAATAATTAATTCTAATTTTATTATTATTTTATTGTTCTAATATTAATTTTAATATTTACTTATAAAAAATATATGATTAAATATATATATATATATATATATATATATATATTATAGTTCTAATTTTATTTTACTAATAAAAAAGAACAAAGAATAATAAAAGAACTAG